CTCTCTAAATGGTTTACAGAATCAGCCATGCTATGTAATAACTATATTGTATTAGCAGTAGCGGCCCTCTCTAAATGGTTTACAGAATCAGCCTATTTCCTCCATCAATCTGGGTCCTCGTTTTACCAACCTCGGAAGGATGGAGGGCTGAGTGAACTTTGAACTGGTCAGGATCAAACTGCTGGCAGTCAACAGAATTAGGCTGCAATACTGAATTCTAACTACTGTGCCACATAGCTCTTATTTAGAAGATTCCCAGTTGGAAAAGGCTGCTATAATCCTAACTTTTTACTTTTTTTTTCAGGTAAAGGCTGAATTACGCAAGCAATGGTCTCGTTTCTTGCTAGCATATCCCTTTGTCTGTATGCCCTGCTTTCTTGGAAAGAACATCAAGCACCTAAGGAAATGTCCAAACAAGCACCATTTGAGCAATAACAATCCCTCCCTTGAGGTGACACAGCCTCCCAAAAAGCAAGCGGCCAAAGTGAGAACATGCTACAATATGGAACGAGGCCCCACAGAAAGACACAACTTCAGAGCAAGTGTTTCTGACAGCAGCGAAGAAGAAATCGCCAATGGGGAGACCATTGAAGAGGCTCTGGAGGAAAATGAGGGTTAGAACCTTTAAGAGAAAATGAATTTGTTGGGATCTATCTTTTGCATGGAAGCAACTGGAATTAAAGATCCTATGGAAAGGGCAAAATGAAAGCAGCTTTGGTACATCCCCCCCACCCCAATCCATTCTTCATTTTGTCAGTAAAACAAATATTGGCATAGGCTAGGAGCAGCAATGTCACTTTTCTTAGTTCTCAGGAACTGGATCTGGTATCAACACTATATGGAATAAAATGATGTCTCCCTCACACACGCAGTGAGAGTGTCTGCTGCTCCTTCTGAAACTTCCAGCATGAGGTCCTACCAGAGGCTGACTGCTACTCTGACTGAACCAAGGTTCAGATTTCAGGAGGCTGCACTTCAGGACTACAAGGCCTCTTATGATACCACTGAAACAACTAGCTAAATGCACCAAGTGAATAAAGGAACTGGTCTGAGAGTCAGTTTACCATACATTTAGATGCTTGCATGTATACACCTGAAAGCATATTTTTTAGCCTTTGCTAAAATAATAGTTAAATCAGAGCAACCATGTTTTAGGACACAGTTATTAATGCTTTGTTTTTCAATATATTTTGCAAGTCCTAATTTCTGTTATTCTTTCAATATATCTATAAAGCAAATCACTATGACTTCCATTACGTAATTAGAACATTAATTTGACTTAATCCAAAGGAGAAAAATCTGAGAAATTTGAAACAGCTGGATGAAATGAAAAATAAAATAAAAAAATATGAGGAGCGATCGGGAGCTGAGAGACTGCTGTATGAATACATCTTATTTCTCAAATAGAAGGACAAGCTGAAATGCAACTTAAAAAGGCAAGATGAAGCAGCAATCAAAGGCATTGCCAAGCAGTTGGAAAGGCTTCATTTAGGAATGTGTATTTGTTCTCAATGTTTTTGTTTTAAAGGAAGAATGACAGAAGCTCTTATCTCTTTCATTCCTGTCTATGTTTCTTCTCCACATTGTCCTCAACTGTATTTCTTTCCAGAAGAGAGAGAATAGAGGAACTCCAAGCTCCAAAGTAACCAGAAGCATCTGCATTCTGTCCCTGGATTCATAAGAAATGCTAGGTTTCTTCCTCCACTATCTTGGGTTGTGGGTTAACTTCAGTTACTGTTTTTATTTAATTGCATGCATTGGCCACTGCTGCAGTATTTTCTCTTCTTGCCAGTTGATGGCTTTTGCCCTTGCTCCAATAATTAGGTTTATCTAATAAGTATGGAAGCATGGACATGACATTGCACATGAGTTTAGTTTAATCAGAGTTTAGATGTAAAAAAATTAACCTTAGTTTAATTATAACCACTATTCTTAATCTCAGGTATCTGTCACAAGATTTACAGTATCTCATATTGCTATTGTAAAACAGGATTTTTATCCTAGGGAAGTTCAAAGACGTCCTACTTATACCCATTCTCCTCATGTAAAGGAGTTGGCTTTGTGTTACGGTTTGGCTTTGTGTTATAGGTAGCCAGTGATTGGAGGTTGGAAAAGTGGACACAGATTTAAGTGCACAAGCAATTGAAAGCAAAGTGGAGCAAATTCCAACCATACCAACTTCAGAAGCTCCAACAGTCAATAGACAGCCTGCAGCTGTAATAACATTTCCCCCTTGCAGCCTTTGCTTTAATGGCAGGATCAAGGAATCCAAAGTTAACATACCAATAAAAAAGGGAGTATAAAGGGAGTTACTAATAAAAAAGGGAGTATAATGAAATGGGGAAATATTTACTCCTAGAAGGATTTTTCTAGTACAGAATAAACAGTAGTATAATTAGTAGATATGTCTTGATTCAAGGAGGGAAAAAGAGGCAATTTAATAACATCAGAATCTGGAAAGAAACCTAAACATGGTAAATGTTCTAGACATACTGGATTTAAATGGAGAGACTACGGCATGAAAAAAGAGAAATAGATAAAAGAAAAGATGCTAAAATGACTTTTGAATAAATTAGTAGCCTGTAGAAGGGGTGGGTGAGGAAGATAGATGAAATCTGACTGAGCACAATCTGCTTACCGTGACATCCATGAGTATATAAGACCAAGAACTCTTGAGAGATATTGGCTAGGTACAATCTTCGGCTAAATTTTATGATTGAATCTCCTATGGCTTAGTATTAAGTATGAACTGAATGGCTGTGGCTTATTCAAAATCCAGTGGGGTGTATATACCCTGCAAATGAGTTATAGATCAGATAAAAATAGTTTTCAAGAAGTCTGTTTACTTTCCCCTGCAAAGTTTTGTAGCTGATTGTGGGATTCGAGAATGCTACAAAGTTTTGGGATTTGTTTCAGGGCAGGGAGGTCCTGTTTGTTTCTCTCTCTTTTTTTAACCTTTAATTGCTTTTCCTTCAATTTTCCTTCTGTCATGGATCTTGCAACTCCCCCCCCCATCTCTTAGCACCAAGTATTAGTAAAGAAAAACATTACATCATCATCACAGGAGATGAACTCCAAATGGCCATCTGAATTGCAAACAGTGGGCATATTCCAAAGAAACTTCATTCAAACCGTACTGAAATTAATGGGTCTTATTCCCACGCAACTCCATTTACAAGCATGTGCCCCACATGCTAAAAACATCAGCTCCTCTGAGGCAAGCTTGCACACTCTGGGATTCATCTCCCTGCTGAAATGCTGAAGCAATGTTTATACAAGGGGAGTTGGCAAAAATCCCACTCATCCCTGTTCTACATCATTATTCTGGTCAGAAGACTCTCTAGTTAAGCAAATCTCTCCCTTTGGTGAAGGAGGAATGAGTGGTTTCTACACAAAGTCCTTTAGCAGGGTTTCTATTGGCATTCTCTAAATAGGCAGGTAGTCAGAGCATCACCCATCAGACTCTTATTTGTCTATATGCGTATGAAGGGCGGGAGGGTTTTTAATGATCACCTCGGAGACACAGAACAGGTAACAATGCCATTGCTGTAGATCGACTTTGTTTGAAGACCTGCTGAAAATTATTTGTATCATAAAATACGTCAAAGCAAAATTGTTCTTAATTGTTCTGAATTTTGTGTTGCACATTGACTGCACATCACCCTACAGATCCTAGCATGCCCACATGTCTTTTAATCTTTCATAGGGAGAGAGAAAGTAAGGAATAAGATTGTATTTTTGAAGTCATCTCCTAATTTTGTTTTCCTTTGAAGTGAAAGCAAACAGATTTCCACTCAAGCTCAAATGCAAAACTGACAAGAGTAAAACATCTGTGGGGATCTGCACACTGTCAAAATCTACTTACTATCCTCTGTCTCCAGCATCACTGTCTGCTGCTAATATTAGTACTTGCCATTCCAGTAAGTAGATGGAAAATCAGATAAGAAATGCCGCAGATGTTTGGAGAAGCATTCCAGATTGTTCAAAGGATCAAATCCTGCCTTTAGTCTGTGGTGTTTTTTTTAATTTATTTGAGAATTCACCTATTTTTCTCTCTAGGGTATAATCCTGGCTTTTCCAGGAAATGCAATCTATTAAGACTCCATTTAGTAACTTTTCCAAGTTGATACAAAAACTATCAGAACAATTGTCTGCTGAGATCTCTTGACTGCAGTAGTTTGCAGCTTCTGGCTTCTGTTGACTCTGGAAAATATGTTTGCAAGTATATTTCTTCTGTCTTGTGTGTGCGTGTGCGCTGCGTGTGTGTGTGATGTGCATATGTATGTGTGTTCTCTCTTTCTCTCTCTCAAATGGAAATGCATGTGGATATGTCTTGCATTCTATATTATATACAGAAGGTATGTTTCTAAGAAAGAAGCATGCAGAAGGAATTGAAATTCTTTTACAGTCAAAATCCATGAAAACTTGGAGGTGGAAATTGTAGATAATTGTTATCTCTGAAAAGATAGAACCAGTCCTGGTCAGTATTGCCAGCTGATATTACAATTTTCATAAAAACCAATATGATTATAGTGCAGTTAGAATAGGTAGAAGCATCAAATATAATCACAATGATAACATCTGTGCTGTAATGTCATCATGCCAGCTGCATCTTTTTGTACTTGTGCAGCAGTTCGTAAACAGTGAGGTTTGTGTTGCAATAGATGTTTCATTCCTTGGTGAATGGGCAACAATTTCTGTCGAAGCTGCGACTTAAACTTAGAACTGATTGAATGGCTGCAGGAGGCCTTCCCGTCACACAGTAACATTTCCAGAGGTGGGGTTATGGCTGACAATTGGCCTGTTTGGTGAGATAGGGGAGTCAGTCTAGGCACATTAGAGTGATTTAAAGACTCCGGTTATATTTTCATAGTATGGGGCCAAAAAAAATGTTGCTACGATACAATCCAGTCATTTTGCCACCAAATTTCAGTGGCATGCTCTCAGTATGCCTTGCTTTGTGAATTGTTTGTGGCCTCTGAGGTGTGGTTGACCACTCCTTCACCTACTAATTTTATTTTAAAGCTAAACTAATTTAATCCTTATAAAAATATCCATGCATATAAAAGTAAAGGAAAACATGTTTAGAAAGAAACTCACCCTGCTGTGTTATTATAGGTGCAGGATATATTTATCACTTTGTGCCTGTGTGTTTACTGGGGACCAACATAACCAATGTAAGGAACATGGAGGCAACTAATAATTGGCTGAAATTTATTTCCTAAATAAGATTTTAATGCTACTTATTGATAGAAAGACTGTACAGTGTTATACAAAATTTTGGGCTATAACCTCCACAATCTCTTGTCATTGGTCTACTGGTTGAGATTAATGGCTATTGAAGTCCAAAACTTAACAGTTAGAAGAGACCATTAGTCCCTCTGCTCAGTTCAAGAATCAAAATTAAAGCATACTACAAAGATGCTGATCAAGCTTCCATTTGAAAGTCTCCAACACTTGGAATCCACCACCCACAGTAATGGAATCCCACAGTATTTTGAACTGCTCTTACAAGCACAATTTATTTGTTCAATCTGAATTTTGGCTTTCTGTAAAAGACATCCATTTTCCTTTGTCCTATGTTCTGGAATGAGAGAGAGCAAGTCTTGAGATTCTTCTTTGCAACTTCTTTGAGTACTTCAAGCTATCATGGCCCCCTCAGTTTTTTTTTTAACTCAAGGCTAAACATGCCCAGTTCTTCAGCCTTCCTTCATAGGATTTCATTTCCAATCCCCAGGGTAAAGAGCAGCAATTATTTCCTGTAATATGGAAACTCTATTTCTGTTCATGCTGCCTAAAATTTCATGAGCCTTCCTGTAGCTCTATAATGTTATTTGAAATCAATTATTTTTCAAGATCATTTGTCTGGTGTGAAGAACCAAATCTACATGTGTAGAGTTCAAACTAACTACTTTATTGTTCTCTGCCTGTTATACAGGAATCTCTCCAGACTGGTAGCTTTTGCTGCAAATGACTAGATAAGGATCAAAGACATTGAGGAGGGGGGTGGGAGAATCAGACCTAGCCCTCTAGTGTTTATGTAGAGAGTCCAGGCTCTTGAGCTCTCTTCCCATCTGGGGTGATTGCTCCCCAATGCGTTTTCTGAAACATTACAAAGCCATGTAGCTCCCATTTAATATCCCCACATCTGATTTCTATTTTCTAACAGAATAACTTTGTAATTGCCTCTGTTAAATTTCCTTCTGTTATTCTCAGCTTATTTTTCTAATTTTAGTTTTAAATTTTACTTCTGTCTTCAAGACTATATTAGTTATTCCATCCAATTTTATACTGACTGCAAATTGGATGAGCATTTGCTCCATTTCTTTATTTAAATTGTTAATAAAACATTGAAATATATAAAACTGAAACTTAATACCTCACTACAATTCCGTGAAGAACCAATGATGATCCCTTGCATGCTTAGCAGGTCAGTGGGTTCGCATGCTTGTTGCATTCACTGTGCCCTTCAAGGATCCATTGACACAGAGGTGGTATTCAGCAGGTTCTGACCAGTTCTGAAAAATCGGTAGCAGAAATTTTGAGTAGTTCGGAGAACCATCAAATACCACCTCTGACTGGCCCCACCCCCATCTATTCTCTGCCTCCCGAGTCCCAGCTGATCGGCTGGGTCTTCTTTTGCTGCCCTGCACAGGAGAATTGAGGAGAACACAGGAGAACGCAGCTGGAAAGCAGGCTAGTGGGGTGGGGAGGGAATGGGGATTTTGCAGTATCCTTCCCCTGGAGTGGGCCCAGGGGATGCCCACCAAGCCACACCCACAGAACCAGTAGTAAAAAATTTGAATCCCACCACTGCATTGTCCTATGTCATTTTCTCAGTGTCTTTCTCTTTCCCTGAATATTAGGAGTCTGATTCTCGTGAGGGTCTAAAAGCTACTTAATTCAACATCTCTTCTGGCTTGCTCCTCTTTAGGATTTCTTCCTTACAGAAAGTTGCTTCCTTCTTCTAATTCCCATAGTTGTCTCCTTAGTTTGATTTGATAAGTCTCATCCTCTGTCAAATTAGATGCGCTGCTCATATCCTCTGATTTTGTTTTTCAAGCACTGCTACAAGCTTGTAATTGTTGAAAGTATATGTCAAATTCATTTTAGTCACTTTTAGTTTTCTTTATTAATGTTCTACTCGTAGGAGGAATGTCTGTAGAGAGTCTCAGTCATCCAAGTCATGGTTGCCCCAAAGGTGCTTTTCAAAAGACAACTGGACTTTCTTTGACTTTTCAAGGAAAAAAACAAGAAGATTCAGTTGCCTTTTGAAAAGTACCTTTGGGATATTAGTAGGGGGCTTTACTTTCACCTTTACAGGACACCCCTGGACTTTGAAAGGTATAATCAGGAGGACACCGAGTTGCTAAACCTGGTACTTCTCTATTTGCTAATTTATTAGGAAATAACCAAGTTGGGGGAGTGAGGGTGGGAATGTGGAGGACTGTAGGACTGCTAGTCACTTTGTATGAAAATATTTTTAATGAGCTCATGGAAGTGGTAAAAGTGGGTGAAATAGTGTCTGCTTTCTAGGAAAAATAATAAAATGGGATTACATGGGATGAAAAGAGTTAGCTCTTCAATTA